GAAACTTTCTTTCGTCGGTAGATTTCTTCGGTATACACATATTTATCGGGAATTTCAGGAAGTTTCTTTTTTTTCCTCTCTTTTTTCTCACAACCATTTATTTAGTTACGATACAAGTTTCGTATGCTTTTATATATATATATATATATGTATGTATGTACAGAGGTATGTGTAATTATTAGGAATTAAGAAGGACGACGGTCGTTACAACGTGGAAACTATAAAGAAAACTGGGGGAGAAAGATCGCTGGTATGGCGAGGAGCTTAACTCCGGTAACCTAGCTTTATGATGTCGAATAATACTCATACAGCTAGATAACCAAAGAAAATGTCCGCGCCAAGATCCTCTTGTTTCGCTGGAGAGTGTGCGGTGAGATGGCTCAGCGAGAGAAACAGGCAGCAACAGCCTATCGACCACGTCGAATTTTCTCAGTTAGATGGTGATCAGGGAGCATCGATCCCGGTAGAGCCACACGGGATCGATCGTTAACGCCTTTCATCCGTCTCGTCTTTCCTGGTTGCAGATAGTGGCATGCACGTGTCGATTCTGGCGTGTCCCCACTCTTCCTCTCTTTTTCTCCGGCTGTAACAGAAAGACGGAGAAATCGTAAACCGCTTATTAAACAACAATCGTCCCTTTGTCGCGCAACCGCCAATTGATTGATATGCGCGCGGCTTTGAAAAGTGAAACACACAACCGTTGACATTTCGGAGTGAAAGTCAGTCGGTGAGACGACGACGACGACGACGACGATGACGGGCCCAGAGGCTACGAGCGTGTACCTGGAAATTCTTCTTGGTGTGTGGTTTCCAGGCCAAAGTCATTTCCAGGCCTCCTAAAAGCACGATATGGAAAGCACACCGTAAGCAGAGAAAGCGAGCGAGCGAGGAGAGACGTGGAATATCACGTATCGGTTGCTAGACACGTTCAAACTGAAAAGTAAATCGGTGGAAGAAACGAGGCGATACGGTTTTGCTGAATCGTAGAACGCGCGGATAAGACGTTACGTCGTTGCGTCATAATTACTTCAGCTCGAAACGCGCATCCACGATGGTTCTGTATGTATATGTACGTACAGCCAAGTTTCCTGGTCGCTGTTTCTCACTGACTAATCCCGTCGGAGCTTTAATAAAAGTTAGGCTTCGAGTACGGTGTACGTGTGTACAGAGATAAACCGGATTCTGAGAACATCGCAGGGAGAGACCGCGTAAAACGTAACGAACGCGCGCCGCTTTCGCCTCGATTACGATACCGCGCGAGCGTACGTGGAGATACGTCCATGTGCTTCGAGATTCGATCGTTGATTTTCTTTAGCGATTATCGTGTCCTAAACTCTATCTAGAATCCTCTGTTAGAGCACGATATCAGAGGCTCTCTCTGGATTTTCGTTCGCTCGAGACTCGGTAGACCGGTACGATCGTTTCGTAAGAGCTTCCATTCGGAGAAAGTTATGATCTTGCGCGCGCTGCATTGCGCGCGTGGCTGGATTCTATTTTATTATCAAACCGCTCTCTCTCTCACTCCGGCTCTCCTTATCCGCAGAGACTTCTCCCGATCTCGATAGGAATTCGCCACGTGACCGTGACTGAAAACGAAAGAGATTTTTCGAGAAACCGAACAAGTTCGGCGGTATATAACTTTATATTCAAATAGCAGCGTGTTTATCGAATCTGATGGCCGGGTAGAATAGGCGTTATCGAATTTCGTAACAGATGATTTGAAGAAGCGTTGCATCACGACTGGAGATACAATCCGGTAATTCTCCAAGTTGTAAGAATACATATATATATATAGTATGTATCGAGATTATATTCGAAATGAAACTCGTACGTTCACGTATATACCGAGAAACTGTCCTGCGCGCGTCTCGTACGGGTATATACGCGATCGCGCACGCGTTTTATCCTAAGAGTGAAAGTACAAAAGATCCCATTAAGAATAGAGTAAAACTATGGGGTGGAAGGAGGAGGAGGAGGAGGGGGAGGAGGAGGAGGAAAAAAAAGAAAGAAAGAACCGTGGCGCACTCACCTGCGAAACTGCCGGTTTAATTCTGGCTCGGTATCGTATCGGGCGTAACAGGAAGGCTAGCCAGAAAGATTTAGCCTCGATTCAACTCGATAATCCCAGGCTTTCTAAAATCAAACTTTTCTTTATTTTTTTCTCGTTTTGTTCGTTGCTGCAAGTCGCCACGAGCGACAAAGGTCTCTATCTCGACTCGCCACTGGAACGGCCTACCGGAGAGCCACGAAATCCATCGTGTCACGTAAGTACCTACGGTAAATACGAGTAAGTAGCTATATCTTTCACGATAAGCCGGCCTTCGATTCGTTCCATTTGTCTGTCACGGCTCCTACAAACTCACAACTGTATTGCAAGTACAATTATCGTCGCAACTTGGTTGCTACGTGAATTTCGGCCCAAAGAAAAAAAGAAGAAAAAAATGAGAGATGAAGGGCTCGTGACGTTTCCACGATCGAGATATCGTAGGTAGGAGGAATATTCTTTTGGAAAAATATAAAAAAAGTGTGGCTGGTCTAATTAACAGTTTACGATTTAATTAACAGTCCGGTGTCTAGTCGAGCCATTACACAGGGTCTTTGCACGATACGCCTTATTGACCGTAGTTTTTATCGAGAACTTTTCTGCGGCGTTGTTCGGTGTGCGTTGGTTGCGCAACTGATCAGGGGTCCCGTTCGTGGTCGACACGCGCCTCTTCCAAATCGCCAACTTACCCTTCCACTGGAGGAAAACGGCGACACGGCACAGGACGCGGTGGACAGACGGAGTTTCGCGAGGTGGTAAACTTTGGCAAACGCGTGTAACCGAGCGAGGGACGTACGGTAAATTCGTCTCCTAACGAGGCCGGCTTTCAACGCGACTTCCAATCGTTTACGCAAACACAGCTGCACGAGTACTCGAGATAGTCGGGGCTAATGTCGCTTCACTTATAGGCATTATCACGTCGAGTATACTTATCGACGGCGATTTAATTTCCCTGCGGCGCTCCAACGGATTCGAAAGAAAGAAAAAGAACGATCGTCTCTCCTCTGCATGGGCTCGTCTTTATATTCCGTGATATTTCTGCGAAATATTCGTTGCCATTTTCTCTCGCCTCTCCCTCTGGTCCCCGCGGAAACTAGTTTCTCTTATTTGCTCTCTTCGTTATCGCCTCTCCTCAGCCGGCGAGCTCCGATCGAACACAATCGTTCGCGCCGACCGGGAAAGTTATTCGAAAGATCTTCGTCGCAATATTCCGATCCGAGAAGAGAGACGCTCGAAATTCCAGTTGGAACGTACAAACTGTAGGAAGTAAACTGTAACAAGGCCGTAGTTGATAAACGCTGAAAAAGCAAGTAATCAGTCGGTTAGTACCGAATCCCAGAGGACGAAGCGAGCCAAACAAAAGGTAACCTTTTCGCCTAAATATTTGTACCAGAGACAACTAATAAAGGGAAACGTCTCCCTCTCTCTATTTACCTAACGA